AGTCTCATTCGAAAAGCTGGGGAACCCCAAATCTCACCAAAGCAAGAGGAAACGCCGAGTATCCTCCAGGTAACAGCAAAGTAGCCCCGGGGTGGGGGGATCTTAGCCCTGAGCCTGGGGATAAAACGAAGGAAGCCGTAAAGGGACGTGTTTCAAAGGACCAAGGGGTGAAAACAGACGTGAGCGTAAATAACTGTAAAGAATAAAACTTGGGGAGGGAGAGGGACGGAGAGGCTAGAGGAGGGGCCCAGCACATTCATTCCCAAGCCTGAGCTGGGGACCATAAGCATGTCCAGATCTGCCGTTATTGCCGAAATCGCAGCGCATGTCGCTGAGTCAGTGCTGTGCGCGGGCTGCACTGGGAAGGGCGGTGGCTGCGTGGTGAGGCTCATAACCGCCCCGGTTCCTGCTTTGCCATATCGCACCGCGGTCGTGCCGAGGACCGAGCCCTCTCCTTACACCCCAACCATGGTGAGTAAGCCGGGGACCCCGGGACGGGGAGGTAGAAGCGGCTCCGTAAGAGCAGCAGGGCGATGGCGGAGGAGGTTTTCCCGTAAGCGGCCCCAGAGCTGAAGGCGAGATGTGCTTTGGCACGGGAAAGAGGAGACGGTGCCAAGAGCCGAGCTAAATCTCTGCTGGGGAGGGGGCCTGGGCATGGGAAGAGGGGGCAGAGGGTCCCCACAGGTGCAGGGGAACCAAGGGGGGGTATTTGTGTTATTCCCCCTCACTCCCTCCCTTCCTCTCCTCTCCTTTTTCCCCACCACTGCTGCTTCCAATGCCCATCAGCTCTGCCCCCACCGCCCCATGTGTCCCCCCCACAGCACCAGGGTGGGGGCTTGCAGAAAAGCCAAGAGCTGAGGACCTGTGGCTGAGGGCAGAAGCAACTCAGTTCACCTCACGTTAACCAAAAAAGGCTGAACCGAGCCTCAGGCAGGGCAGGGAGTCCCCAAGATGTTGAGGACTTGCCCCAGCTCTCCCTGCACTGCCCTTCCCCAAGGATCGGAGCCATGGGGAGGGGAAAGAGCCCCCACATCCCCCCCCATCTCCCACACCCTGCCCCGTCCATCCCCACTGCAGAAGCCCACGGGCCAGCCCAGCTCTGTCCCTGCCCCATTGCAGCAGTTTGGGGAGCCAACTCTGCTTGAAATTTTTCTCTCATGACTCAGAGTTTGTCCTCGGTCCAGGCAGGGCAGGGGGAGGGAAAGGGGGAGGCAGGTTTATCTTTCCAGAAAAGCAGCTCCAGCCAAGCTGTGCTGGAGAACATGGAAAAAATTAGCACTTCGCTGTGGTTGCAGCGCCAGCTCTTCCCAGGCCAGGATGCTCCTCTGATGGGAACCGACACGTCCCCAGGGATTTTTCCATGAACCACTCCCCAACCCTCTGGGTCCTTCCTGCACCACAGTGCTGTGCCAAGGCATCCGAGAGAAATTAATACCAAAGAAAAATGTAGCTGGACAGGTTGGGCAGGAGACTTCCACGAAAGCAATTGCAGGAGGCCTCCCCTCAGCCCAACCTTCCTCCAGAAACTCTCTCCTGCAAGCCCAGAGCTCCCTGCAACGCTCACCTGAATTTTCTTTTCCTCCTCCAGCCCACGGAGACGGAACGCTGCATCGAGTCCCTGCTAGCCGTCTTCCAGCGGTACGCGGGACGTGAAGGGGACAACTGCACCCTCTCCAAGAGGGAGTTCCTGGCGTTCATGAACACCGAGCTGGCTGCCTTCACAAAGGTGAACAAAATCCAAGGCCAGGAGAGTCTTCCCGCGGTGTGAATCCAGCCCTTTGGGACAGGAACTAAAGCCTCTGACCCCACAAGCACCGTGGGGTGGGCAATGGGAAGAGTTTGCTCCCACCAAAAGCCAAAGCATGGCCTGACAAGTGTCGGGCGGACTGAATTCTGCCTCTCTCTACCAACCCCTCTCCACTGGTGATGGACTCAGTAGCTGCAGTTCCATACCTGGGGCTGGGGGAGTTCAGCGAGGGGCACCTCCGCCTCAAAGCACACATCGATTCCCCTCTGTGTTTTCTTTTTGCAGAATCAGAAGGACCCAGGTGTCGTGGACAGGATGATGAAGAAACTCGATTTGAATAGTGATGGGCAGCTCGACTTCCAGGAGTTCCTGAACCTCATCGGGGGCATTGCGGTGGCCTGCCACAATTCCCTGGTGGTTAACACTCCTTCCGCCTAGCCCTGGCTGCTGCTGTCTCCCCCACCACTGTGAACATTCCTCAAATAAGACCCAGGAAAAGCTGGAAGCAGTGCCCTTAAGATAGGGACATCCCCATTCTTCATTTTTATGTATAAAATAAAAGGTTTAAAATCCTACTGTAAGGCATGGTTTTATTTCAGCATCGTGAGCGAGCAGAAAGCCTCCCTCAAGTGAGAAAGTCCAGGCACATAGCGAACAGAATCTCTAGGTCCCACCCTCTGCTTCTTCACTGATGGGAGAACATGCATGTTCCCATCCTTGTCACTGCTGGAAACTATGATCTGCCTGGCTTTGGAGATCCTCCAGCTTGTTAAGTACCATCGGGAAAGGTACGGTAATACTAAAGAGTCCAGCTACGCCAGGTAAATGCAAAGACGGGAGCCTTATCCATAAGGATAAGTTGAGCACTGGCAACAGCAATTACACACTAATAATTAGCAGAAGCAGCCCCTGCTGGCATGACAAATCATTTCAAGACTACAGCCTCCATTTTCCAGAAACTTCAAAACCCTGCAGGTTTGGTAGCTTAAGCGTGCAAAAGGGGGCGGGGAAGGTGAAAAGAGGAAATTAAATCAAATCTCTCTTCTATCTCAGTAAGACTAACTGAGCTACAAAAGAGGAAGACCAAGATGGTCAATTTACTTTATTCACGAGAGAAGCTGATTATTTTGAGAAACGCTGCTAGGAGAACAAAACAAAAAGTCAACAATTCAGCAGGGACAGGCTCTGCGCTGGCCCTGGCTCCAGACAGTGTCGCTCTCCCGGGAGAGCCAGGCTCAGCTCTTCTGGCTGTCCAGGCTGCAGCAGGGTCTTTGAGCTCCTCTTTCAGGAGCCCAACACTAAAGGACAGAAGAGGCAGCTGCTGCCTCTCAAGCGGTTTCTACAGAGCACACTGTGTGGTAACCAGGCCCTGGTTACCAGCAAGAGCCACCCTTTACCCTCTGGAAAAGATCTGCCTTGAGACAACGGTACAGAGAAACTTCACATCAGCTGGATCTGGAAACAGAAGCGCAAGTTGCTACTACTTGGAAGCAGGTAAGAGTTTCACTACAGTGTTTCTGGGTGGGGAACAGCAGGTATGACACGGCACAGGCATGGCTACTGTGAAGAGACTAGACTAAAAGCTGGAATGCTGGGAGGTGAAAGTTTCCACACTGTTCTGAGAAATGGGACCATTTCCCTCCGATCGTGCACCTCCCCAGGACCGGCATGCCCTAGCGGAACTGGAGTGGGCTGATCCGCAGCCCGATGACATCTTTGCCGATCTCTGTCACCTGAGGAATAAAAGGGAGATGATTAATGCTTAAAAGCAACTCAACAGCCCAACCCTGTTTGCAGCCTAGATGGTTCTCAAGAACGCACACTGCCGATCACTGCAATGTCAGTCCCTGAAGGCAGCATTTAAACTACACAGTATTTCACAATTCCCAAACTGTTCCACCTCACATGCCAAGTCCTCCGACATTCAACTTGACCCACAACCCATCCCAAGTCAGTTTTGGGGGAAGCTGCTGAAGGGGATTCTCAAGGGAAACATCACAGGCTAGGAATCGGTGGTAAGAGACATTGAGACTCCCTTACTGTAGTGACGCGGCAGATCTGCCCGTGGAACTCGGGGCAGTAGCAGGCTCCGCTGAGCGGACACTTTTCTACAGGTTTGCCCCGATAGATTGGTCGGTAAGAGGCGGCACAGATGTCAAAGGGGTTGTGCATGTCATAGTTGAGCTGGTAGGTGTCAGTGGGATTCTTCTCACACGCTGACAAGATCTTGCGAGTCTGCAAAAAGCAACCACATTGACCAGAGAGGCAGCTAGGAAGGAGTCCTAAGCAGGGTCTGCCACAGCAGATATTTCTGCCTATGCACCTCACAGACGTACCTGCTGGGCCACCTCAGGCTTTGGACCCAGCTCCAGCAGCCGACGGGCAAAAGTAGCAGCTGTCTTGAAGTTTTTCAGTTTGAAAAAGAGGTTGAGAGCAGTACGCAGCACCAAGATCATGTGGACGGGCTGCAGGTTGGAGTGGGTGAAATAGGCAGCCATCTGCATTAGGGAAGAGGAGGGGAAGTAGGGATACAATCACTACCAACCACGTGAATAACTGGACACCCTGAAAACACTGCAAGAAATCCCTCCCAGGTAATCACTGCCACATCTGCTTTAAAGGAGGAAACGGCAGAATTCAGGATTCCCAACGCCTTTTTAAATCTAAAGGCTACTTACCCCTTATCTCCCTCATAGTGAAAAAATTCACAGAGTTTCCGTACCTCACAGATTCGCTTCTGCTGCTCCAGGGTCTCTTTGGGCAACTTCTTCCGCTCAATCTCCATCGAGAGCCCTACAATATACTCCCGGCAAATGGCTATCAGCTGCTGGGCCTTTCAGAGAGGGAAACAAGAGTCAGGCATTCAGCCTCCTGCCCCACAGGCATGCAGACGATGGACAGAAGAGTCTGCTGCTCACCTCAGCAATCTCCTGCTTGTTGTCCACCACCAGCAAAGGCACACTAAGCAAGATGGAGCGGAACTTCTCCACGGCCTCCTCGAACTTGCCAGCTGTAGTGAGCTGGTAGCACAGCTGCAGGCGCTGGATCAGGTCGTTGAGTTTCAGTCCAACGGCAGGGAGGGCATTCTTCAAGCCCGCTTCTTTCCTACAGGCACCAAAAAGGGGTTGGGGCTACAAGCGGGACCACTGCAGAGGCCAGCAGGAACACACACATTGTCAGCTCGACTGCAACTTGTCAGAAATGTTTTGACTTAAGGCCATGCTGTTTTTCTTCGCCATTAGCTTAGCACAAACAACATCTGTGCTTCCATAATTCTGCCACCCATAGTGCCGAGCTCTCTCTGCATTAGCACAGAGTCTGGCTTATTTTTCTACAGTGGCTTCCACACACCACTGTAAAAAACACATCCATGGTTCTCTAAATGCCTCAGACCAGCTTTGTCAGAAGCAGAGCATTAGTGCTAGAAAACACAGCATCCCAACTGACTCACCCTGGTTTTAGTCTCAAAAAAAAAAAAAAAGTAGTTCTTTAACATCTTTACATCTAACAGCACGCAGCAGAAAAATCCCACCAAAGACACAATACTCCCTATTTATACCTGGAAAACAGGAAGGCTCCCCCCTTGACAACAGAGGGAGGAGACATTTCTGGCTACAACTGTCAAGGAGTCTGGGAGGTATACGGCAGGAGGAAAAGAGCACAGAAAAGGAGCTAACCCGATTGCTTACCAGTTGCGATGTGGGTATCCATACATGGTAGGGAGACATGGCAGGGCTTGGTAAGTTGTACGGCCACGGGCATAGGTCTGTAGAAACAGCTGCTTGTAGGGTCCAAAGTTTGTTACTCCTACCTGGTCATGGAGGAGCTGAAAGAGACACATTGATCTGCTGAGTAAAAGTTGTCTAGGGCTGTATAAAGGCCCCACAGACATGGCTCAGGCTCACAACACCTCTTATTTTATAGCCAGAGAAAACAATGTACAAAATGATTCATAAAAGGACACAAAACAGCTTCAGACTGGATCAGAGACAAAAATACACGGGGACAAAAGCACAATCTTTTCCCTAAAGACTTGTTGCCAACAAGTGGCTCCAGGGGAAACTTACTCTCATTGCTGTCTCAAAGGAACCTGCCAGAATGTGGTCAACAGGAAGCTGAGAATTGTTGCACCACACCTACAAGAACAGAACGGAAACGTATACAAGAGGAATTGTGTATATGCACACATTTGTCTTACCCACCCCCATCACCCCTAACTCCCCTCAACAAAGTTCCCATGTTGTGCTTGCCGATGAGTGCTAAGAAGAAGGATCGAACTCAAAAAAAGAAGCACCAAAGCAGAACGTTTCTGAGAAAGGCAAATCAAAGACTTGTGCCATTACCTGGGCTGGACTGGTGCCCTTGGTGGGTGGCACAAAGAATCCATCCTCCGCTGTTCCTGCTGGGCCAGCGGGAACATCCTGGGGGAACAGACAGAGCAGTGATTAGTGTGGAAGTTTCCAGCACCCAGATGAAATCAGAGCTGGCCACAGCCGTGGCAACAAAGTCTCTGAAGAAGTCCAGAAAACATTTCCCACCACTACAAGCTGTCGTTGCCTTCCCAAGTAACTACAACTGGGCTACTTAAGAAGCCTCCCGGAAGCCTCCTACCAGTTCAGGGGGAAGATCCAAATCTTCTTCGACTTCCCATCCACCTCCTTCTTCCTGTCCTTTACCTAGACCTTCCTCTCCAAAGCCCTCTCCAGCATCCACAAAGCCATCTGCATGAAGGGGGCAGGGGGGAAATAGAGTTCTTAACACAGGCACACACTTACACTTCTGTAAGAAAAACTCTTGGATTCACCAACCTTCATCCAGCTGCAATTCTGCATCTTCTCCCCAGCCTTCAGTGCCAACAGTGTCAATATCAATATCGGCAGCCAAGGCACCCCCTTTGCCTACAAAAAGGGTAGGATCCTTCATTTACTCATCTTTGAGCAGGTCAGGTGTTAAGCAAAGAATTATGTTAGGTCAGCACCCTCCCCTCCAACTGTCAAGTCCCATCTCGTGCTAAAAGGCCACAGATTTGAGAGATTTGCCAAAGATGGTGTAAATGCCAAGCTGGATTCCAACCTCTGCTAGTAGCACGCATGAAATCTGAGGTTAACAGCAACAGTTCAGGAGCCACAGAGACAAATATCTCCATTCTGCATATCCCAGCCTAATGCAACTTTCCAAGTACAAAGCAAGACCTTTGCTAGCAATTGTTCCTTCGAAGAACCCCTTGGAGACAGTCAGCAATGGCCAGTTGGTATCCAGAGGCATGACAGGAGCAGGAGGCTGCAGCAGCTTTGCATTGTGATCAATGTCTGGAATCTGAGAAGAGAGGAGCAGAAAACAGTTAAAGGCTACATAAAAAAAAAACCAACCCATTCTTTGGCCTACCCACCTCCAAGTGGCACAGTCTCAAGCCTCAGAAGCAGTGACTGGAATGGAGATGGTTCCTCCCTCCCAGAAAGGAGCTGCCTAGCCAGTCACACTAACACCAGATCCCACTGTCAACTTCTCTAGAACTCTTGTAATGAAGTGGGAAGCATTAGTCAGTTTGCTAACCGTTTCCTTTTCAGGGTCAAATGTTTCCTTCAGGCTTTCAGCTTCCTCATCCAGACCATGAGTTGCAGCTGTCAGATAGGCCAGGGACTCTGAAATGATAATTAACATAGAATCATAGAATCATTATGGTTGGAAGAGACCTCAAAGATCATCAAGTCCAACCGTATACCTGATGCCACCATGTCACTAAACCATGTCTTGAAGTACCACATCTAACATGAGTGCATGTTCTTCGTTACCGAGAGAAAGAAAACTTCTCACACCAGCGCACATGGCCACACTGTCACAAGGGAAAATTAGCAGCACACCAAGGTGTAGAATCACACCTTCAGGGATGTCACTGGATTTGGGACTAGAATCTGCAGGCAACGACTGATCATTTGAATATGCTTTACAGTTGATTCAAGTCTCCTAGATGGTATTCTACCTCTCGGGTTACTTTCTGCTCATCTGATTCAGTTTCTCAGCTAAGGGATTATGCTGATCTGCCCCCAAAAATTACTGTTCATCCCAACAACCTCTCCAGCTTCTCCCCAGTCCACAGAGACTGTGTTAGTCTGAAATTACTCACTTTGCCCACAGTTCTTCAGGATCCTCACTCTCTCTGCCACATCTCCCAGATACAAGGCATTCTGGTAGTGGCCACTCATATCTTTACGGATCTCAGCTAAACCAAAAGAAAAAAAGTCACAATAGCTTTGCTGCTCTTGGCCTCCACTGTGACACCGCTCATTCCCTCTGGGAATGACACTCAGAGCCTCTTATCTCATTCTTCTTTGCCACCACCCCAGCACTCACCTATCTTCATCATCTTCCGAAGCTTCTCGAGATTGCCAGTGATGAGATAGAGGAAGGAGAGCCTATCAAAGTTCTTGGTGCGTTGGTAGCACATCTCCACAATCTGGTGATTTCCCTGCAGCAACGCCACTTCTCCCAGTTTCTCCCAGCAATTCTTGTCATCCAGAGCTTTGGCTGCTTCCAGAGCAATCTAACAAGAGAATTGACATGGTTACCAAGGCTTCGCAGAAGCAGTTTTCTCTGCTGGCATTGTCAGCAGAAGCCTGCAATGGAAAGCACGGGATTACAAGGATCCCTGCACTAAATCATGTCCCCAGCTGAAGACCTACACCTTAGTAAGCCTGCTATCATCCTCAACTCTATCACTCTCAACTAACATTTCTTCTTCCCAATACTCCTCCTCCTTGCAGCAAAAAGTAAGGTTTGCAAGCAATGCCCCAAAGGACTTGCTTTTCTCATAGCACCACCTGCCACCTCACCTCAATGTTGCCACACTCCAGTGCCAGGCTGAAACGGGTCTTCTCATCCTTCACAAAGTGCAGGGCCACCTCTGGGTAGCCCTTTTTCTGCAGGTAGGCAATGATGGACTGGCCCACAAGCTTAGCGTTCCTCACCATGTGCAGCACCTACAAAGAAAAGGCCCAGGCACTGAAGTTGTCAATAACTTCTCTTTACCCTCAGTTACAGGCGAAGGAAGAGTGCAAGGTTTCTCACGTCTCCTCACCTCATCATACTTTCTGTTGATCAATGCTAGCTTGAATTTGAATTCCGTGGGATCAATGGTGAGCACCCTGGGGCGGCACTCTCTGTCCAGGCAATACACGTTGTTCCCCTTCACACGGGTAACATAGATAGGCAGGTCCAAGGTGCGGATAATTCCATGATCCCTATGCCAACACACAGCACACGCATGACATGCGTGCCACGTACAACTACATTCCCTACCTCAAAAGAGGCTCAACACTCTGTATGTTATTTCAGCCTGCATTATAAAAGCAAGCCCCAGTCACACGAACAGTGCAGCCACCCAGCCCAGCAATAAAACACCAGTGCACAGAGTAAGCAACCAAACATGAATATTTAGCTCTAGTTGTCTTTGGGTACGTCCATGTTGTAACAGAAGTGCTGTTTCACAAGCACCAGCTTTGGTGTCTGCCAAAAACACCCCATGATAGTCTGCACAAGGCCTGCCAGTTCAAGGACTCGGTGCACAAATCCCAGACTCACCCTGTGGTGACAGCATATTTGATGTGATTGCTGGTGGTATAAATGAAAACACCGCTTTCATCCCAGGCACCGCTCTTGACACGGATGTTTTCATGGATGTTACACAGTGACTCCAGCTTTCTGTTGCAGATCATGATGGCTGGAGAGGAAAGCCAAAAGAAGAAAGGCTAGGGAACCCTCTACTGTTAAACATCTGCCCCTGAATTATCGTTTCTCTATTCCATAGTCCCAGCAACAAGAACTATACTCAGAGTGTGAAACACTAAGCAGATGACAGCAACCACAGTTAAACGGTCATCATCTGCCTCTGTTTTACGAAGGAGATCAGCTGGATCAGTTTGAGGAGCACAAGCAGCCCTCTGGTTTACAAGCTTACAGAAAGGTTTTGTTAAAGAGACAAAGAGGCAGGGCCCATACTGGGAATGTCTTCAGCTGCACCTTCACTGCTAGCCACGGCACAGGATGGTTTCTCTAGCAGGGACTCTGCTCCTGACCAAGGACAGAGGTAGTGTGCATTAGGATCCACATGAAACCCCCGCTTACCATGCTTAGCTAGCAAAGCTACATGGGACATGTCAGCCGACCAGATGACGTATTTCACCTTAGAGATCTTCACTGAGGCCAGAGTTCTGGGAAAGGACAGCACTGACATCAGAGAGTTGAACACCACCCCTCCACAGCAAGCTCTGTATGGTAACTACTAAAGCCCAATAGCCTGAACTCAATTTACAGATGCTCTGAAGCCCCTTTTTGCCATTCTGGAGCGATAAAATCGTGAGGCAGAACTGGGTATCTCTGCAGTCCAGTACAACAAAATAAACCTCTCTCCACACTTGTCCAGTAACAAATACATTTGAGTGACAATTAACTTCAAAAATCTAGATTTCTGAGGGGGTTTTAGGGACAGATTTAACAGAATGAAGGAAATAAGGCATTTCCAAGCATTTTGCATTGTTTAATTTACTTGTAACTTTCCCAACGATACTAAAGAGACAAAGGCATGCAACTAAGGAAAAGAGGCAAGTTCTGGGACATAAGCAATCAACATACACCGTATCTGTTTGCAGATAATCCAGAACCTTCTCAAGCTTACAAAGATGGCCAAAAGCACCAACTCCCTGCCTGTTTCTTTGTGGCTAGCAACACATACACCAGTACAAACTTGCTAAACATTTTGAGCAGATATAAAACCTAAGGGACAAGATATGAGGCAAGCTTAGCTTGATTCAGTTTGGCTTTTTTGATTTCTCTCCACTTTTATAGCACCCGATTCTGTAGTCACAGGATTTACAAGGGTATGGCACACATCTCCCTGTGATCAATGGCACGATGCCTGCAGCATAAATTGCACCTTGGCTACGTTTACACTCTGCTCTTTGTAACAGTTGTTAGCCATGGTTTGGATCAGTTTGATGCAGCCTGCAGCTGATGTTAAATTCTGGAGTGCATTAATAGCTATTACTTGTCCCCAGAGGGCATATGCCAGCAGGATTACAATATTAAAACTTCTCCCAGTAGACTGGATCTTACCGCTTCTGCTGCACGTCAAAGAGGGTGATGGAGTCTGCATCTCTCAGTAACAGGTTCCCTGTGCCAGCATAGAAAATCTCATCACAGTTTGGCACCTGCACCTTCTTCGTGATCTCATTCTTCAGGTTTTTTATTAGGATCTGCCATTCGACAAGAGGAAATGTAACAGCACAGGACAGTTAGGTAGAGCCTACAAAGAAATTTAGGATTATTTTAACTCAGTATTTTTGTATAGCTGAACCTTAATGACAAGAGGCCAAAATAAGAGTTGCAGCCTTTCTCGAAGGAGGATCAGACTTTATCCTGCTAGAAAACCCAACCACAAGTTTGCCAGGGTACAGACACAGCGTGTCCCTTCTTTTCAGCCCCACTGCTGGCTGACACAGTTTGCAAGCCCTCTCTACAATGAGATTATGAACAAAGTAAGTATTAGGGAAAAGTGAGAGGGAACACAATGTAGATAGAAAAAGGAAAGGAGAAGGTTGTTGAGAGTGGAGAACAGCAAATGGAGAAGGGGAAGGCAGGGAGAAGTAACAGAATAGGCATGAAATAAACTTGACTTTACTAAGCCAAAAAACATTGTGGGGGGAAAAAAAAAAAAAGGAGAAAAAATACAATATCCTGCATGAGGCAAAGAGCAAGACTTTTCTTCCCCTTCATGTCAAGTAAATTCAAGCAGGGAAAACTTTCCATGACCGTCTTTCCCCCTTCTTTCCCCTATTGCACTCCACAAGTGAGAACAAAGAGCTTTATTAAAAAAATCTAACCTGTATTTTCACCATCTCCCCATTACTTTCATGCTATGAAAGTGACCTCCATGGCTCCACACTCCTGTTCTGGTCAGCTTTCATCCCCGAACTCACCTGCTGCAGCAGGTTTCCAGCAACTAAGCAAAGATTTACTATCAAAGAAGTTAGATAGTATTTTAACTCATCACATTTTCACTGTACTATATTTCTTCATGTATGTCTGCAGCCCACTCTCCACTGACAACGCTTTGCCAGTCTACTTGGATTTCCAATAATTCTGTTAACTCAATCTCCCCACTTTCCATCTGCATGCTTCCAAATGACAACAGACCCCGTTAAAAAGATGACCCTATTAAGCTTGTCCCCTTACCGAATGCATGCGATCCAGGACTGCAAAGCGGTTACGAGCTACCCACACAGCTGTTAGCCCGGAGGAACGTTTCCCTTCAGGGGCTAGGGAGAGCAAAATGCAAGCAGTGAATAAAACCTCTGGCAGGCTCTTATGACAACACGTTAGTCAGTCTTGTTTGATCCCATCTTGGCTGTTGTAGCTGCTTCCTACTAATTCATGTTTAACCTGAGGCTATTCACAAGACTCATTTCCTCCCCCGATGTCCTTTCAGATCTCAGCGTGGCCAGCGCCAGCCCCTTCTCTCCAGCCAAGGCACAAGACAAGTAGCTGGCTGTATCGCCAACGCCACTGCCTGGCACTGAAGTGGGCCATCCTGGGCGACAGCACCGTCTGTCAAGCTAACGAGGAGAGCCCTGCTGGCCAAACGAACTGAGCAGCGAGGGTCCCGGCTTCAATGTAAGCCCCCCCCTCCGCAAAGTGATATAATGAGCTGGAGGAGAAAGGCTGCACTCTCCCCAGCACGCAGCTGTTCTCCCAGTTTTAAAATGCTAATACAAACACAGTGGTCTGTATGTCAGACAGCATAGAAAGAACGGTACTGCAGGATGTGCTTCAGATGGGGAGACGGATTTTTGCAGCAGTGGAAGGGAACAGACAAGTGAAGTGAGTCAGAGAGCTGCTGCTGTTTGGTAAAACACAATTTTCTTTAGTTCTCAGTCCCTTTTCTCACCAGTCCCGCTGCTCAACACGAGCATTTTTGGAGACTCGCGCACTAGACCAAGTGCTATTTCACCAAGCATAGTGTAATTTGTGGCAGATTTACATCCTAACAAATGATGACTTAAATCTGACTGCCTCGCCCCTCAGCCCTCATTTACTACCCAACACAAGAAAGACATGTCTGAATTCAATTCGCAGCTCTGCTTGGGGTTTTCCGATGGCAACTTCACTATTTTTCTGAATCTCCACACCTCAGCATTTTTACTGGCTTTAAGTCTTTAACACAGACTGTAGATCAGGCAGAAAATGATTGAAATATATTACCCAGAAGACTGTTAAAGAGTGGTAAGAAAGCTTACGCTTCCCGGTCAGGTAAATAAGCTGAAGGACGTGAGGATGACAACTCCAAGGCACACATTAAATACCTACATTATAGCCCTGGGAGCTCATCAGAAGGTTGCATATGTAGCAGTTTGTTGGAGAAGATACTTAACAACCAGTAGAATTTCATACTGTTCTTGAAAATGCACTAAAAGTGCATGGTTTTCATGAGGCCTAGAGATTTCTTCCTCTGGAAGAAGAATATTCCCTTTCCTCATTTAAAGGGTCACAAGCTGGGTGTCTCCAGACAAGTCAGCTTTGAACGTCTCAATCAAATTGTGTATTTTAAATACATTCAGTAACATTGAATCTATACAAAGTTACTAAAAAGCTCCTTTTCTCTTTCTCTCTCCAAATACACCTGCTGACTGTACTCAGCAAAGAAATTTTCCCTTCATTAGACTCGCAGAAATCAGTAAATCTATGAACAAGTGAGCTGTATTCCAGTCTAACTCATTCATCACTCCCACTCATTTCAAAATCTTTACTGCCATGACGACAGAGGCAGGAGGAACCAGCTGGAGTTTCATATCCCAAATGGAATTCATAGTTAGGGGAAAGAATTATTTTTTTTTTTCCTAAATCATGTTTTGACTTGTAAATTGCACAAAACTGATCTGGAATGTGCCGAGAGGAAGAATGGCTACTGGCACCCTGGCATTGTCACTTTTACAGCCACTTTTCAGAGTATAAAACCTCTTAGAACAAAACATATCTGGTTAAAATCCATCTCTGTTGACAAGCCAGGAAGGCTGCCTGCTGCGTCGAAAGGGAAAACAGAAAGTTCCTAATAACAAAATTATAAAATATATATTTGTAGCAGTAAAAGTTTGGGATGAACATGAATTTTTCAAGTCAGTGTAGTGTGATATAGTGAGCAGGAAGCCTGCCAAATGATGTGTGCTGCAGGGGCACTGGGAAACATGGAGAAAGAGTCCAACAGGAGAGGCTGAGAGAAATGAAGTTGGTTTTATATATATCACACACAGTTGGAAAGTGGAGGAGAGGACAGCTACACAGTAATAAACATTCACAAGGATTAATGTGAAATAAGAAATGCCTACCATCTGGATTCTGGGAGTCTGCATCCTTGGGAATGGTGTACAGGTCATAAGTACTGTTCTCTAAGTTGCTGGCTCTCTGCAGAGAGGGGGAAAAACCCATTTTGGAGACAGGATTTCACAGCCGACGTTCACATTCTTTAGCACGTTATGCAGCAAAACTGACTTACTGTGCAGAGAAGGACAGCGTTCTCAGCTGGGTTGTATGACATGTTGAACACAGGGAACTTGGAACCACTGAAGAAGAGTCATGAAGAAAAGAGAAAGTTAGAGTGGACTAAGATTACTTCTACCAAAGTCACCTTCTGATTAGTGCTCTTCATTTTCTGAAATATACCCAGTACCAGAAAAGCTCAGTTTTGATGAATTTCCCGAATCAAAACCACTTTGAAACACTGTAAGAACATCAGCGTTTCATAAATGAAAGAGTTAGCATTTCAGTTTGAAACTTAAAAGCAGCACCCATCTCCTACCTTCGCAGCTGCATGACAGCAACGTCTTTTGAACTGTTGAAATCAAGCTGGCGGAGGAAACGGTCCTTCACGTAATACAGCATGTTCCCATGCACAGCATAAGCAGGTCTCTCACGCTCCAGTTTGAAGACAATCATGCCACCGTCGTGGCCTGAGAAAAAGCATGCGAGATTTCAAACATGAGTTAAATCTTGGTTTTTCTCATTATGAGGATGACACTACCAAGCCCTGCAAACCAAGACAGAGCCAACAAAAATCATAACCGATGACTGCCAGCCACATCTGCTTCTCCTCGGCCTGACTGAATTAAGTGACTCCACTTCTTTCCAAAGGGCCCACCCTCCTTTACGTTTCCTAATAAATCTAAGACTGACACTCTTCTAGAAACACTTTGCCTCGCTGTCACACATTTCTTCAAGCATTAACAGTCCAGCGTGGGTTCCCCTAGGACCTGTCCCATCCTTTCTTAGCCTTAGAGCATTTAGCTGGTTAATGCAGAGGCTGTCTTGTTCTAGCTTTGAACTACAGCTGATACAATTGAGATTGTGTTCCACTAAATAAGGATCTTTCCCCATGATACATTTAATACAAGCACCTGCAAGTCAGTGTGTTCTGCATAGTGTGCTAAGAAAAGCAAATACTATATGGATTTCCTATATGGAATACATTTTCTCTTCACAGCAACCTATCAGACACTGAGTACGAGCTTTTTTTACCTGCAGCAAAGAGGTTGAGGTTGGGATGAGCAGCCAATACCCAAAAGCGATCGTGATCACGCCGAAAGGTCTGGACACCCGTGCTAAGTGTGCAACAGAAGGAATAAGGAATATAAAAAAAAAATTGAAAGTTTGGTGTAAACTTCAGTTCCCAAAATGAAGATCCCAAGCTTTGCCATACAGACCACCTCTAACGATCAGCATGAGGAGTCCACTGAGAGTTCAAAACACTCTAATCGAAGCCTTCTGACAAATAATGCATTCTCATTTAACATATTTTCAGCAGCAATATCACTGGACAAGTCAGCCTTCTTCAGCTGCCTTCAGACAATTACAAGCCTTGTTCTTAACACGTGTCTCAAAGGGACAGAAAATGTGAAAAACATGACTTCTCACTCCTGAATTATCAAACACTAGCACTGATGTTTTAAGAACTGCTAGGGTTCAGTTTCTCTAAGAATAACTGTAGGTCTTTCATACGTGTAAAAAGTGTCATAACAACATTGAGTCAGATGCTTGACAAGCACTAACCGTTTAGACATATCCCAGACACGAATGCTCTTGTCTTCCGAATTGCTGAGGATTAGTTCCTGCCGCGGGTGAAAGACAGCGCACGAGACGTTGTTGTAATGCCCCCGGCAAGTGTCAACCTCCCAGGCCTTCGATTCTAACCAAAAGTGGAAAAGAATGAGGAAAATAATGCTTAAACAGGTTAAACACTGACACAGCAGAAGCACAGCAAGCACTTTATAATGAAGCAAACTGCATCACCCACTAGTTACTATATCATTCTCTGCAATTTACTTTTATGATCTCTCTAACCACTAGCACAGCTCACCTAAGAGAAACAGATATACCAGGTTACTAAAGAGGTGCTAAGAATTGTGTATAGTTTAGCTGAACTGAGCTGACAAAAGCACAACCACTCCCGATGGAAGGTTTCTGGCTTTTGAACCACCTCCCTTTCTTATTCCATCGGTGCATATTCCAAAAACTTCAGAGTCAAGTTTTTCTACTCCTACAAGCTTCTGCTCAGCAGTGTGTGCAAATCAAAAGAAGCTAGAAGTGTTTGCTAGAGAACTGAGCTCTCCTCAAATTGCAAAAGCCAATGCTGCTTGGGATTATTTACCACTCTATCAGACACGTTTGCAAAGTATAAATTACCTCCAGGTTCAGCCTATAGATGGTCAAATACAAATTTCAACTCTTAACCCCCTTCTCCCTGTGGGCTCCCCCTCAAGAATGCTCCTACCATTCATCCGCCAGATCTTCACTTGCCGATCATCGGCTCCCGACACAATAAGTGGCATTGTAGGGTGGAAGGCAGCCCAGTTCACCCCACGATCATGGCCCTGCAGGCAAAAAGAAAACACTCATTTGAAGCAATTTGGTGAGTGAATGGAATGAGCAAAGGAAGAACAAAGCAACAAAGACTGCAGACAGGCTTGCCAAGACACAGTTTTCCCTATTTTTATACATCATGCTGCTCATACCAAATGCTTACAGATAGTAAGATTATGGATGCCCACAATAATAAGCTTTGCAGATACTGTTCTTCACCAGCAGAGCAAAGCTGAAGCTCAGCAGCAGAGCAGCACCACTTCCTAGCTTTAACAAGCCATCACAGAATGCTGTCTCTACCATAATCTCCTCTGTTGCTTCCAGTATCACAAGGTAATAACATCTGCTATTTAACTGAGCTTTTGGCTGTATAGAGAAAACCGTATCTGTTTGGTTACAGCGCAAACATCTCCAGATTTCAGACTTTAAACTCAGAAAAAGTAATGCCATAATCTACAAGATCTATAACTCTATGGAGTTGAGTTAGGTGTTTGAACTCTTTTTTCCTCTGCTATTTTTCTGGGCTTTTAGAGGATCATTTGTTTCACAGAGATTTCATTAAACAAATCTGAAAAGGCTGTACTGCACACACACATTGACACTGTACCTCAAGAACGTGCTTCACAACCGCATCTGTTGTCCCAAACAAATCCACCCCTGTTATTCCCCTGACATCTGATTCCACAGCTCCAGGGGACAGGTTCTTCTTCCTTAGGCCTTGTGGAACAAAGAGAAAAGAGAAGCAGGGGTAGAGGAAGCAAAAATTGTATTATCAAGACAATGTTTCTAATTTAACAACAAGCTGAGTGCTCTCCCGTGCTGTTCACACACATCTTCAGGAGGAAACTGGGAACTTGAAAGAGGGTGAGAAGCATCCAGGACTCTCTTCCACTTCCTCCAAAAGCACAAGCTCAGATTAGATGTACCAAAAGGAAAGTCTGCAATGCAGTAAATCGTATGAAGGGTCACCTCAGCTCAGTACAACACAGACAGTGGCACCTCAGCAACGAAGGACTGACACATTCTGATTACTCCCCCTCTCACCCCTTCACTAACCTGAGCTTGCACCTTTCAGGAGACTTTCACCCGTGCCATTTTGATGACCTCTCGGTTATAGATTTAGACAATCTGCCTGGACACAAAATATTTTCAGGAGCTAAAACTACATGAAATAAAGCCTGTTCCCAATTCTGAAGAAAACTAACTCATCCAAATTAGAATAGGCCTATATCTGCTATCCTTCATTAAAACCCAACGGAACACAGTAGAGAAACTGAGAAAGCTTCTCCAACAGTACACAGGGAAAAGATTGTACTTTTTCCCCTTAAAAATACATGGCACAAGGATGCTATCAATAAATTTATCAAGAATAAGAAAAAACTGTCTAGGATAAAAGCCAAATGGCACTGGTATGGATGTCAACAGAGAGGGAAGTGTAAGAAGAAAACAAACAGTACTGAAAACAAAAATTATTACTTTCTTGTTGCAATTCTGATTCCCAAACTCCTCATGGATTAACAGCTCAACATCTCAACAACCTCTCTGGCAAAGTTAGTCTAACAAAACCAACACGTTAAGCAGTGTCTCACAGCGAAACATAAACGCTCAGCACACTGAGGGAGGTGCACATACAGATGGTCCGGGTAACGGTGAAGGACTTGAATGGCTGAGTAGATTCTTCTACAAAGCTGACAAAAAGTACCCCAGAAAGGAGGAATAAAACATACATAATCCAAGAAAGATGAGCGAAGAAACACAAGACTTTTGGAGGAGAAAATACTTGAGCCTTTGACAAGCCAGTGAAACAGGACTGGGACACAAGTGGAAAATTTCTGGTGTAACTGCACAAATCGAGAGGAGAGGCAGGACACCCAAAGAATACACCAGCCTCCTGTGTTGGTCTGGGGAGGTAGCAGGAACAGAAAAGGGACTTCTAGGAGAAAGGCAGATATTAGGCATTCTGAGGATAGCTGTTAAAAAAAAAAATAAACAAAAAACTGAAAAGGAGACTCAGCTCAACATGCACACAAGCACTCAGGAGAACAGGTATTAAAATAACCAGAGTAAAGGGGCAACATGCTAACTGTGAATGACAAGTTGCAAGTTAGGAGAGAAGGAAGAAGACAGGCGGTCCTTTGCAAATTCTTTTGCTCTATTCTGTTCTTCAATGGAAACTAAAGAGGGCTCTTGGGTACAGACTCTTTCGTTGCTGGGCTCAGGTTCCTTTCTGTCCCTGTAATCCATCCACATTCAGTGGGCAATTAGAGAAGTGCAGTGGAAGCTGAAGTTGTACCAAAGATCCACATATATCCGCTAAGGCTACTCAGGGAAAGGCAGTCTAGGTCTACAGTGAGGACTCTCAGCTCAGTCCTCCCAGTCCCAGGGCTTCTCAACATTGCCAGCCTAAACCCTCAGGTGATCCTCACTTAAACTGGTCATCCAGATCGACCTAACAGAGCCCTGACAGCAGTCTCCTGCCAAGTATCAGATATTGACACTTGCCAACCACAAGTAAGGTTAAAGAGGAGTTGGTGTGTGATGTCAGAGCACACACAAAAGCATTTTGATCAGGCTAAGACCACTAACACCCTCCTTGGTGGTTAATATTTGTAAAGAGACAGAGAAAAACAGAAGATTATTTTGTAGCTTCTGCAGGTTAATATCAGCGTCACGAGCAAGGACTTCATTCCACACCACAGGTGAATACTACAACACAAATGTTCATGCATTTTAATATATATAATGTTCATGCATTTTAATATATATAAATAAGCTTATTCCGACTGCATTCACACCACACAGTCTCCCTCAGGAGATTAACAGGAAACAGATCCTTTAACCTTGAGCATACTTGTTTTCCACTGAAGACCCCTTATTAGAAGGTTTCAAATCAAGGAGCACTATCTGTATAGGAACTCAAAACACCAGGGTCATCTCCACATTCTGGTGCCCAGTCCGGGTCACGTTCCTCATCCCTCACACTCTCTGCTGAGGCTGACAGTTTTGGGAAGAGGATTTGGAATGTGACCTTTAAACTCATTTAACTGAGAGCATCAAAGAATCAGTGCTCATAATCCCAAAATCTGCTGAAAAAAACTCCCACTGCAGCAGAAGCTGCAAGTTAACAGCAGCACTCAGAAATAGAGTCAAAGCTCAACGCCAAATGATGCTCTCCATGACTAGGATTATGTGCACAACCGAATCAGACAAAATGGGGAAATAACCCTTCCCAGGAGACTGCTAGAGTCAGAACAGAATCCTGCTAAGGACATAAGTCATTTTGGGGAAAAATTAGGGAGTAGAATTGTATTTTGAATCCGTTTCTCATCTCTCTGTAGGTTTTTCCACACACTAATATTCTCACAGTGTTGTGTCTGACTGGAACGACAGCTGAGTCAATAATTCAGCATGTCTCTAAAAGCCCTCATCACATATCAGCTGAGAAAAAAAGGTCTGTACTATCTCCAAACCAATTTGGCAGCTGGAACTCTGCTGAGAGAGAGTGTTTGTGGGAGAATGCAGCAGCAAAGCTTACTGGCAGAATAGCTGTTAAACTCCCCATGCTGGCAGTAGAGAGAGGGGGACAGGTTTTAAATAACCGGGATATCCTGTCCCCAGTCCCTACTGTTGACACAGCTGGCCATGTCTGAGCGTGTACTGCAAATAACGCAGTGTGCCCAACCAAAACTGCAATGGCGAGAGCCGCAGGTCGGATGAAGGCTGTCTCTAGAATAGTTTATGTGGTAACACCACCAGTACCGTCCCCGTCTGCCTCCCACCAGTCCCTTATCTCCACCTAATATTTTCTTTATTTCTAGCTTTTCATTTAGGGATCATATTTCACTCCATTAAGTCACCTTGTGGCGTAGATATAACTAGGAAATAGCTAAGGTATCAGCAAAGTACTTTGGAGTTTTGACTTGCAACTCCTGCTCTGATCTTTAGGCTATGCTTCATTTTATAAAACGGACAAACAGACTGAAAAAGTTTAAAGAATTTCTGATAATATTATCTTCCTGTCACCACCCACAACTAGGCTACCAAAAGAACAACCCCAAAAAACCAAAACCTTATCCATTTTGCAATCCAGACAGAGGCCTTTTTATCTTTCTCTCAGAACAGATGACTTATTGCCTCCTCCAAGAGTTTTTCAAGGGGATAAAGGTGATCCAGAAATTTCTAAAATCCTCCTGCAAGTCTGGCACATTGCAAAGCTGATCAGTTGACAACACTATGACACTTCTGACAGCAATATTCGTTACCTATACTGGCTATGAAATCAGGCTGGGAGATTAGGTTGCAGAATCTCCGCCTTTACGGGTTTTTTTGGCTGCACAAATCTACAGCTCACCTCAACTACTGTCACAAAAGACTTACTTCAAGCAAAAGGGCAGGTTAGATGACAACCAGAGGTCCCTTCCAGCCAGCATCTTACAACTTCATGGAAACTGAGGGGAATAGGTTCCCATCAACAGTGAATTTTTAATTTTCTGCCTGAGGCTCCTGCAGTCAACAGGCTACTCTTCCTGCTCTCAGATCCGAACCCCTCTTTCCTGCCTCATTTGGCTTTCAGCAATTGCAGTTCTGAATTGGGCTTTGCCACTGGGTACCCCCTTGATCTGGGCAGCTCACCAGAAATATCCCAAACGCGCACAGTCTGATCCAAGCTGGCTGACACTACCAGGTCCTCAGAGGGGTGAAACTGGGCACACATCACATAGTGGTTGTGTCCTGTCAGCACACTACAATAAAAAGGACAGAAAATACCATTTAAACATAAGATACATTAATACACATCCCAATTTCCACCAACAGCAGCAAGCTCAGTCTCAGGACGGAAGACAAGGAATATAGGATCACTAAATGCTACTCTTGAAGAGTTAGCACGACTGAATACTAAGCGCATCTGTTGCTACAGAGAACATTCAAGGATTGACTTTCTGGTACCAATAACTTCACAGGCTTGGGCACTGACATGTATTATTTCAAGCTCAAAAAATTTTCAACCAAGCAACATGTGACTTTATGAATATAAGCCTAGTGGCATCAGAATAAACAAGCAAAAGACAAGACTGATAGAAATATTCATAACTGATCAGTCTCTTTGTCAGTTCTACTCCTTCAACTAAGCACGGCTTCCACTTGAAAACAACAGATGAAGTCAGCTCACCCTCAAACTGTGCAGTTATTTTTTAAAGCAACCACTGATTTTACCAAACACAAGTTCTTGACTGCCAGTTCCAAACCCGAATGGTCTGGTCATCAGAAGCACTCAAGATCCAGGGATATTCCTAAAAAGACAAAATATTCTGTATATGAAGTAATACACACACAGACATTCCATCCCCACATGGTAATTTCCAACTGTCCCTGGGAATGATCCTTTTAAAGTCTTATTTAAGATCTTGGAGGCAGAATTTATGCCTCTTACACTTCCACAGAAGGCCAGAGCACCCTCATACCAGCAAGTCCAGCACAATTTCTTTAGCAAAGATTCTTATCCAGAGAAACAAAAGATTCCCTTTCACACATAAAGGGAGCAGGTACTCATCACTGGGGTAGGCATGAGAAGAGCTTACGTGGTGAAAGAAGGTAGTGCGGATATAATCCAAGTGCCCAAGCAGAGTGAAGAGACAACGGCGCAATTTGTAATTCCAGACCTGCGCAACAGAGAAGCAGAACAATTATGGTACGCGCCACCACCTGCTAGATTTTTTTGTGTGCATTCCCACATTTCAGGTCACCTACAAGCCTCTCTCTTCCATTTTAATGCAAGCTACAACGAGACTTCAGCTTGCTGCAGTTAACTCTAATGTCCTTGAAACCGGAGGACTGCAATTCCCAAACACTGTTTCCCTCCCACACACACTCTTTCTCATCTTCTAATCAGTTTCTCTGCCCCAGATGATGGCTTTTAGAGAACAAGAGCTAAAGGGGTAAAATTTTACCTTTATTTTGTAATCATCACCTCCAGAAACAAACAGAGGCTGCTGTTTGTGGAAATCAATACCTCGAACAGGTCCTACAAATAGAAAGAGCAGGTTGGACACAGCAAGATGGCTGACAGCTGCAGCAGTCCCTTGTACCACTTAAAGACTACAATTTGCATTCCTCCTCACTCCTGTTGCTATTGATCAATTAAGAGCTTCAAAGCAACGATAAAAAGTCACAGAACAGTCTGAGATCCCATTCCCAAACCTGTTCCTTTCCATCAAGACGCCTGCAGCAACCCATCACAAAACAGAGGTCCTTCACATCTGTACTTACAGGTTCATTTTCATATCAGAAACAAAATTAATAACCCACTTTACACACATGCAAGCAGTGCTCAGAGCCAGCAAACTGGTCACAAAGAAACACAGACTAAAAATGAGAGGTTCTGAAGCCAAACAAGCAGAGGCCTCAGTAACGCTTCAGCAGAGCCCCCCTTCCTCCTCTCGCACCCCAGTCTTCCTCCACAAGCAGGTCCCAAGCCCTCCCCCCAGCACGCTGACCGTCGTGCTCGTCGAATTTGTCGATAAGGGTGCACATCCGATAGTCCCACAGCTGGATGACGCCATTGTGCAGGCTGGTGAGGATCCACGGCCGTTTGGGGTGAAAGCTGAGTCCTGCCGAGGCACAGAGAGAAATGACAGCGAGGCCTCCACACACTTGGGAGCCCA